TTTACACGCTCTACAATTAGGAAATGGCGTAAAACATTCCTGATTATTTTCTCCACAGGTCATGAATCATGCTTGTTGTGGTGAAACAAGTCCTACTCATTTCAAGACAGCTAATTTGTGTAATGGTAAGGTAAGGTGACATGGGGTTTAACGTCACGTCCAAGATTATTGCACTTATATAGCGACGTGCATGCACGTGTGTGTTTGTGGCTGCTTGTACTAGTCCGGACTAATGCCGATTTATAGTGCTAGCCTATTGAGCTACCATGCTGCAGTTTAACATGAATACCCCACTCAGACACAGTATACTGACTCCGAGACGACCAGTCCTTGTTTTAGCACCTTAATGCCGAGCGCCAGACAGGGCAAACACAAGTGCCATCTTTTACTGTCTTTTGGTATGACGCAGCCAGGAATCAAACACCAAACTTTCTGCTCTCTCCGGGCAGACACTCTACCACTAGACCACGGAGGTGGTCTTATGTAATGGTGCCTATTGGTCAGCAGTGTCTTAAAGTGCTCAATGACAGTGTTGCATGTTCTGTTGCCCACTTCCAAACTAAGTACAGCTATTGCCAGCACATGTGTGAGATCTTAATTAGGATATCATAATTAACAACTATGAGACAGGGTTGACTTACAGATTTTAACGAGAAAAAAGGGTACAGGTGCTTATAGATTAATTGCAAGTGATTTGCGTGTATATTTCCAGAAACTGAAACAAAAAGAGCCACGGCCAGTAATGGACTACTGCTTCATGATAACAGGATGGGCGGAGCTTGTGTTGCATTATTGAGCTGAATGATGTTAACACTTTTGTTCTGTTGTCTCGTTTTCTGTGTGTTAATGATTAACTAAATGTCTTAACCACTCATGTACCCTGCCACAGAAAATATGACCACATGACCCAAAGTCTGACCATTATTCATGTTCGTGCTTAGACAACAAATGTTTCACCTTACAGTTCTCACAGTCAACGTTGCAGCTGACTGCACCAATACACAAAAGTGTGAGTGAGTGAGTGAGTTAGGTTTAACGCTGCTTTTAACAGTATTCCAGTTACATCACGGCGTGTGGGAGGAAAGCCCAAAGTGATGCAGGTTTCAGACGTTTACCACTTTGGTGAAATCCACGAGCATAAACATAATCGGGGCGAACCAGGATTCGAACCCACAATCATAGGTTTCTGGCGTGCCCAAGGGACGCAACTCTGCACAGAGAAACGCGGCGCCTTAGATGACTGGGCCACCCGTGCCCCTAAATACACAAAAGTACCTGCACAACAACATAAACTTTCTCATAGCCAACAGGACTGGGGGGAAATTTCATATTCTTCTGTATTCTTCTATATTCAAATTTCTCCACTGGTAATGTTCAAAGATAGAAAGAACACTTCCTGTCTTTTTTATATTCCTTTTAACATTTATGAACCGTAATTAGCCTTTAACATATTTACCCTGTGTAACCCACAGCCAATCCAATATTCCCCGTTGGTCTCTTTATGAGCAGAAGCATCCAATTTCCTTGCTCATTTTTTGTTCATAATATATTTGTCTGCCAGCTACATGCCATGCCAGAACATAATATCCGTTCGCCGCTCTGCTCCAAGCCACACACTATTGCCTGATTTCTTGAAGTTTTAATACAAAATATGTCATACATCAGAATTTTGACATGGCTGTTGGCTCTTTATCAGTAAGATATCCAGGCTAAATGAAGTTCCATATTCAATTCTCAATGCCATTTCCAACACAATTTGATAAAGAACAAGGTATGATAATTAAGTCCTTGTTTAGCCCACAGGATCTGTCAAGTTTAAGAAAGAAGCAAAATCTTAAGAAATCGTTATGGCTGATTTCATATGACTGAGAATTAAAGATTTTTTTCTAACCTGTTTTTGACTTATAACAACGTAAAACTTAAGGCTTAGGCTAAATTGTGTCAAAAAGGCTGATTTTAGTTTTTGCATATTTGAACAAGAGCAAATCTTAAACCCAAATTGATTTTCTCAGGAGGTACAGGTAAGACAGTGAGTGAGTGAGTGAGTGAGTTTGATTTTACGCCGATTTTAGCAATATTCCAGCAATATCACCGTGGGGGACACCAGAAATGGGCTTCACACATACCCATGTCGGGAATCGACCCCGGATTTTCGGCGTGACACAGGTAAGACAGAACAAAGATATGGTTAGAAAATAGTGACATATGCACAGTAGCTCACCTGAATATGTAGCCAACAGTTTAAAGTTTTAACAAAAACAGCACTGATATTCAAATATTATTAGCATAATCACTGAGGATTAAAAACATACACTAAAATCTAATGATTCGCACAAAATATGTCACCATAAGGAGAAATATCTGCTTCCCCATCTGTCAATTTCAGAATAATAATTTACAAAGCCATATGCCTTTTTAAAATTAGGTCAAGATCAAATAATTTGGAAAATTTGTTGAACCCTACTACTAAAATAAACTTATTATATTTTACATTTTGAACAGAAATGGCTGAGAAATGACCAAATGATGTTTTAGCTTTCAGTGTGGTGAAAGTGCAAAGGTCAAATTAAGGAAACAATTCAAAGTGGTTTGTGTATGTTGAACCCCGCTAATAACTATACACATACCAAATTTCATTCCATTTTGAACAGAAATGGCTAAAAATTCACCTTGGGTCACAGACTCATAGTTAGATCTTCTCTTGAAGTTACAAATGCTCCATTTTACTCATTTACGCCATGTTTAGGTACTTTATAATGCCAAATGTCCAAAACATGCAAGCATAAAGACAAGTCCATCATATGATACATGCAGTTATGACTACATTTTCAATATGTCTTCGATGTCAAAGGTTGGATGTTTGTTGCTCAAGACAACATTGCTGGGATCATAAAAATAGACTTTTATGTTCATAAACAAAGAGATTTCAGCAGAGATGTTAAACTGCAGTAAAACTAGGCTAACATGGTTGAAGGATTATGTTAAGGTCAAAGGGGAAAAATTGAAATATGTAGAAAAAGAATTGGCTCAACAATAATACCAGATGATTGGCAAACACAATCAGAACGTAAGTTGAAAATATTTAAACCAAAAAATTCAATTTTGAATATATATTTTTATAATAAAAATAATTGAAATATGCAAGTCGATTTCAAATGTTTATTCAACATTTTCAATCATTTCTTTGATCTGTAAAATAATTATGCATAAACACATTCATCATCAATATGCAAAAAGTCAAGTATTTGCATTCATGGTAAAAGATTCTAAAAAAATCACATCAAATTCTTTAACACACAATTTCTGGAAAATTCAGACAAAAACCACCACTGATTACAACTGATGATTGATTGCTGGGAAGAAACCGATTACACCCAATGATTGATGATAAAATCTCAACTGATCCCTACAATATAAAAGTCAAGTAAGTGTCGATTTTTTTCCATAACGATTGTAAAGGTTTCACATGTGTTTAATGACCCTCCTCAGCCATCCCTGAATATTCCCTATTAATCCATTCCTTGAAAAACTGGTTCCTATGTCACTGTTGGGGCTATATTTACTATTGCAATAGTACCCACACTATTGCAATAGTATAATATAAGTACCCCACACTATTACAATAGTATTGTGATAGTATTAACCAACTTTAAGACTTGTTAACTATATTAATCAATGTTTAGAAATGAATAACACATTGCCGACAATGTCAAAGTCGTCTTTTTGTCCTTCCTGTCACTAATCAAACCAGCTGAGATCGTAATGCTTGCTTATGAACACACAGCAGGTTTGAAATAAATTTGAAAGTAATAACTGAGTTTAAGTAATTGCAACAATTTGAAACTATCACTATCGACAATATCATCAGTGTTTTTAAATTCCTAGTGATATAGTACGATCGTAGAGCAAACAATTGCAACACACCGATAGTTTGATAACTATGCAGATGAACCAAGGATTATAATCATCATGATCAACAGATGACAACAAAGCACAGCCAGTTCCATCTTCCTGTGGTAAGGGAGTTAACTTACTATAAAAGTCCAGTTTCCACCCTTGCCGAACAAGGCTGGGATTTGGCTCGATTGTAGTGCCACCAGTGGCGATAACGAGGCATGTCCCTCCCATGTCCCTCCTATTGACCAATCAGATTCCACCTCTCATATCACTTGCATTTGCTTCAAACAAAATTGTGGTGCCCTGGTAGGACGATCTGATTGATAATCAAGACCTATATTTTAACAAAACGGGTTTTACCTCTCAAAGTACATCAAATAACCTGAGCACTTTGATTAAAAGTATGAAAAGATTTGGAAAATATCTGTCGGCGGCCAGTTGACGGTACACATGCTTTTCAAATTCTGCAGAAATCTACACATTGAAACCCATGTTCGTTGCGTGATTTTGATTGGACAATGCATAGACTCGTTAGTTCCACATCAAAATATAACTCCGAAATTCCAGCCTAGTTCAGCAAGGGTGGAAACTGGACTTTTATAGTCAGTTATATAACTCCCTTGCCTCGGGAAGATGAGCCAATTCATATGTCTCAGATCAATGATTCACCAGTGCCCCACTTACCAATAACTTACAGATGAAGACCTACGACACATTAAGATGGAAATCAATGGTTTTTAAGGAAGTCCACTTCAAGGACATAACCAACTCTGCTAAATATTCTTTCAAAACAGTAAAATGGATAGTGATAAATCATTTGAGATATTTTTATATATCATACTGACAGTATCTGCTCGATCGGTTCATTTTGAAAACTGAACCCATTCTACAATCTCAATTTGCGAAGAGTGAGTGAATGAATAAGTGAGTATAGTTTGGCCTATTCATTAGCAATATTCCAGCAATATCGTGGTGGGGGACACCAGAAAATGGACTTCACACAATGCACTAATGTGGGGAAATAAAACCTGGGCCTTTGGCATAACGAGTGAACACCTTAACCACTACGCTACCCCTCATTGGGAAGAATGTTAAACACCTACCTTGCATTGTGTCATCAGCAGTTGCCGTCTCATTCTGAAAGCAATCAAAGATATACATTATACTGGGAGGCATTATGGTCCAAATATCATCAAAATTATTATTTATTTGCATATCAATAACATGTTATTGAAAATATAATGACACGAATAACCATTCCCACAATAACCATTGACTTCTGGAATAAGTCTTCAGCAACTCATGCTTGCTGTTAAAGGCGACTATGCTTGTCGTAAGAGGTGACTAATGAGATTGGGTGTCCAGGCTTGTTGACTTGGTTGATGCATGTCATTGTATCCCAATTGCGTGGATCGATGCCCATGATGTCAATCACTGGATTGTCTGGTCCATGCTCGATTATTTACAGACCGCTGTCATACAGCTGGAATATTGCTGAGTGCAGCGTTAAACAACAAACAAAAAAACCATCATATATCCTAAACTTTAATGTATCTTCTGGAAGTACATGAGGATGATCTCATTTGGAAAACATCTATGACAACACTGATTGGCAAAAGAACCTGCATGTTTCTCCAGATGGTTGCCACTATGGTGTCTTATCACATGATGCACAGAAGAAGCCACTGAAAGGGTAGTCAAATAACTATTCCTATTAAAATATCGATTTCCATTTCTATATTTAAACACAATTATGTTACCTAGTAAATAAAAACTATTGTGTGAACATGTATCATGAAGAACTTGATAGACGGTGTGATTTCCAAAAATAGCTTTAACTAATATATAAAAGCGACAAAATAAATGTTCATAATCATAAGAAATCTCTACAAAAAACAAAGTCAATCGTACAATTTGATTATAACATAAACATGTGTTAATGAACTACTATGAAATAGCATATATACCAAGTTCAGTGTATTCGCCCCCACCAGTTGCACAAGACACAAACACATGGTGCTTAACTATTTTTAAGGAGTATATCACCCTCACCCACAAACAGATACAGATTCTTGAAACAGCCATCAGGATGGCTGTAACACTGCAGAGAGGCTAAATCGATCAACTGTATGATACTGAAGTGATTAAAGATACCCTTGCATGTCTGACGGACAATACTCTGTTATCTGCCTGCACCAGAACTGTTGCCAGTAACTCTGCTATACACTGTCAAGATGCCTATCTGTAACATGGCTTGCTTTGTTTTTGTAAGTACTCTTCCTGAAACTTAAGCAGTCATCAGAAGTGTCACGATACGCCTACCTAGGTATCAGGAAACTTGTCAGCCTTCTAAATTTTTCGTGCCAAAGACACCTACATCGTGCTGAGGACAAGTAAAACTCCAAGTACTAGTTTCAGTATATGAGGGATAATTCTGAACCAGTTCTTAAAGCTTCATTTTTGCTACAAAGTGAAACTGAATAAAACTGACAGAAAATGTAAACATAGTAAACATTTTTGTCCTGTGCAAGCAGGAAAGCCACAAACTAGTCAAAAAAGGTATACCATATCATATATATTCAAATCAGCAAACATTGATATGGTTGCTGAATGACAATGTTGGAAAGGAAGCTAGCTCCTTTCACCAGGTAACATCAGAGTTGCATCCCTTAGGTGTGTCCAAAATGAAGGAATAGTGATATGAATCCCTCATTCTATTTCCAGGTTTGTCAGGGATATTCTCGTGCTTGTTGGTATCACTAAAGTGGCAAGTATCTAAACCCTGCTTCACTTTCTGCTTTTCTCCCAAAATGAAGCTGACATGCTGTGATATAACAGAAATGTTGTTGAAAACACAACTCACTCACTCACTCAGTGGGTTATAGGCTGTTCTTGGATGGTGATTACAGACAAGCAGATAAACTAACCAATGTCAAATCAGTTTGTTGTTCTTAAATGTTGATGATTCATTTAAGTTGTTTATGTGTGCACTTATCAATGTTTTAACTATATTTAAGTTGTTTATGTGTGCACTTATCAATGTTTTAACTATATGACGGTGGTATGAAAGTAATGGACAAACACTTGAGTTATTCCATTTGTGTCACTGCCAGATCGCAAATAAAGGCCATTTTGAGCTGACATTTCTGAAATGTTCGGAGACACGGAAGTGCTTTCAACGACAATTCAATTTGGTACAAAACAAAAGGTTGGGGCACTTTGCCTTATTAGGAAGACTTTGACTGAAGGTTGCTAATGATTTTTGGACATGTGTTTCATATAGCCATTATGGACAACTCCAAAAGAGCTTAAAATATTAGCTGTATATGAATGATAATTTGATCCGACATTTGTTACACACAGCAAGAGGGATTCAAGTAACAAAAGCACCTCAAACAAATGCACAGGCAATTGAAAAACTCAATCAATAATGTAATTATTTCCAAAGTAACTTTTCAGTCAATATTGATAAAAATAACATTTACGAATCTAAATAGAACTCAACCTCAGACAGCTGACTGATGTCATTAATTGAATCAATTTCAAATTGTTATTAAACTCTTTGAGAAGAGCAGGATTGAGGGTTGATTAGCTTTGAACAATTCTTCATTTAAAAAATGTCTACAAAATAACAAACTTCAAATATTTCTTGCCAATTAAACTAAATCAATGCCAAGGCTATTTTCAGCTCTGATTCACTTTATATTAAACTTGAACGTTGAAAATGAGACACAACCTATTCAAAACAGTATGAATTGTGTGCAGGTTTCTTGTCCGAGATGATTCCAATAAGCTTGATAGTGACTCTAAATGCTTCATTGGACAATGTTTCTTCAGTGTCAAGATAGCAAGGTACAGTTCAATAAGCCTACTCACCGTGGCCATGTCCTCGTCAGGCGCCACCACATCAAGTATTGTGTAATCTTCCAGTCTGGAAAAGACAGAATTGCACCATCAGCAGGTGGCATAACAGGGAAATTTATTGGGCAAATAAAAACAGGGGTGATCTCAATGTCAATGACATAAACAGATTGAAAATAGTAGCTCTGTAACAAAATGAAGGTACTGTAACTTACCTTGAAGTTTGACCTTTAATGAATATAGAAAGTCCAGGACAAAGGATTAGCCAATTCATTTTATTTTCTATTTTGGTCAGTAACCTTCTAACTTCTATTTTTTAAATCAAATTTCAACATGTCATGATGAAAAACGGTAATACTGTTTTCCAATAAGAATGTAACCTACTGTGATATCAAAGTAGATCTATGGTACCTGTAGATTTGATACTGTTAAACTGAATTTGAAACTCAAGTCAACAAGAACTTCTCAGAATGGATCCTGACAATGCAAACCATGTGTGGTAAACTAAAGAAAAAATATTCATGTACTGTATTTTCTTGAGTATAGTGTGCACTTTTTTTCCAAAAAACACAGCTGTGTAGAAGGGGGGGCATTATACACGAATTAATGAGTTTTGATGTTTTTTTTCCCCATGGAAAGACATTACTGTGAGCACGTAACACCGGAAATACCATGTCAACAAATCCATACTGAAGTACGCAAAATAATCATGTAATTACACTGTCTGGCTATAAAAAGTGTTCTTTGTATATCTGGACTTATGTTTGTAACTTATTTCATTAATTTTATTCAAAATTCCTTTTAATATTGTTTTAATTAATTTCGGCGAAATCGTGTGTGAAGCGATCGGAAGATCGCACAACTCACCGTTATTAACAGCAACCACGGTCAGATTACCGCTATTGACGCCTTGAAACGAACTTTAGTTGACAGAGGATGGATACATATATCATAAATGCCATACTTTGATTCGTTAAAAGTCATATTTGTTTTTGTTGAACGATTCTATGACAACACGTAATTCTCGCGATCATGTGCACGGGAGCCTTGACGGTGACAGGTCAGAAGTTATATCATTGGGTGTGTCTTGACCGAATCACTGGTAGATTCCAAGAAAACGTGTGTACAGCTGATTGCTGTGTCCAGCTTAGTTTACGAGAAAATACACAAGGTAATCTTAATCCCTGGATATAAAACAATGCCTAGCTGAACACAAAAATACAATTTAAACGGTAAATCAACATGTCTGGTGATTTTTTATCTCAAATTTCGAATTTTTACTGACGAAGTTTCTCATCACCTGTTCGTTTGCCGGACTTCGCTGAAGGGGTAGGGTGTAATTTTTTTCTGTGCATATTAAAAAAAAATTATTTTCCAAAATATTGAACCCACTAGAGGGGGGTGTGCATTATACACGGGTGCGCACTATACTCAAGAAAATACGGTACTTTTATTCACAGACAACGGCTTTACCAGTATTTATTACAACCACGAAAAAGTTAGTAATACATTTTTTATTGAAACAATGTGTCCTAGTCTTTGTGGTTGCTCTATTTGGCATCTATAATACATTCAACCCCTGTGTTCAAATCTACTTCTTCCAAGAAATAAGTGAGTAAGTTGGGTTTAATGCTGCTTTAACAGTATTCCAGTTATATCACGGTGTGTCAGCTTAATGTTGGAGGAAAGCACGAAGTGATGCAGGTCTCAGACGTTTACCACTTCGGTGAAACCCACAAGCACGGGTATGGTGCTGACAGACCTAGAAACATTATCAGGGCAAACCAGGATTCGAACCCACAATCATAGGTTTCTGGCGTGCCCTAGGTAGGCAACTCTGCACAGCGAATAGTGGTGCCTTAAACGACTGTGACACCCATGCCCCCCCCAAGAAATAAGTGGCATTGGGAAGTTGGATATGTAACTGATGACAAGATAGTATAAGTGACAAAAAATAAGTTCTAATTTTGTATGAAGACTTCATCGCTTAGAGAGTTAATATGGTACTCTTGTTCAGGTGAGCTAAATGGAAGCACGAAAATCAAACACATCGACATGAACACATGTCGAAACAAACACATGGAAGTAGGAGTTTGCAGATCGATGAAGCATATGCTATTGGCAACACATGTCCTGTGTAAATATAGTAGGGGGTGATGATAATTGACTGAACTATTGATGCATTGCAATTAGGGTTGTTGACACTGCATCAATGACAGATGACACATCAATAGCTAAAATCAATACCCTGCCAGACTATTGGTAGTTTTGATAGATGTGACAAATTACAGAAATCTGTTGTAGTTTGTTTGTTTGTTCGTTGTTTTATGCCGCACTCAGCAATATTCCAGCTATATGACGGCGGTCTGTAAATAATCGAGTCTGGACCAGACAATACAGTGATTGATATCATGAGCATCGATCCACGCAATTGGGATTGATGACATGCATCAACAAAGTCAGCGAGCCTGACCTCCTGATCCCAATAGTCGCCTTTTACGACAAGCATAGTCGCCTTTTATGGCAAGCATGGGTTGCTGAAGACATATTCTACCCCGGATCTTCACGGGTTTAATTTACAACTGATTCAAGTACAATGAATTTTTTATCCTTTCAAATCATGTTCAGAATTAGTTTCTCAGACGTCACCCAGCTACCTCCTCAGGGACAAGCAAATTTATATTCAACAGGGGACTGGGATTAATTTGAAAATAAAAGGTGAATTGAAACATAATATATTGGAAGAAGAAGAATTTGAAAAGGTTGGTATCCTAACTTTTAACAAAGGCTTAGCTACTTACTAAACCTAGGAAAATGGTTGATGAGATCGGCATGTGTAAAAAAAGTAGATCTGTATTTTTCATTCCTGATATGAACCAAAGCAAATACTTTTTTTGATGAATAAACCATAAACATTAATTTAATTTTAGACAAAAGACACCCATAATTGCCATATAGATGGACCAATGTATGTTCTTGATTCTTTGATATGCCTACCCTAAAGTTAGCAAACTTAAAGAAAACCTAACAGTATATCTGGCTGCAATGATCCATAGAAACAATAAGGACGGAGAGACTGCTAAAAGTGAACTGAAAATTCTTTTAATTGCAAATTTCTTATAATAGGGTAGGGTACATGAAATTTTGAGGGACTAACTGTTACAACAGTGATTTGAAGGTACAAATGTACATCAATGACACACACACACAGCCAAATATCACATAAGGCAGGCACAGGTTGCGGAGACAATCCAATTCATAAGTTATAAAAACCAAAGAAGTTTGATGTATTTTCCTTGTCAAATGTATAATATCTGTTCAGCTTGCATTGATTTAACAAAAAAGAAAATCCCTTCCATAATAAAGGTATCTTATACCAAATGCAATGTCTGTTAACAATGTTAAATCAAGATTCAAGCAAACATATTCCCCCTGCTGAGACAGGATATCATGTATATTATGTCCATATAGCATTATTCATGAAAATTGTTTTGACTTTTGATACTCTGAATTTTTATCTACATCAGTGAAACAAAATAAAGCCAAGAGGCTCTGAAGCTCACTTGATTTTTTTAATATATTTAATTTATTTTAAACAAAGTTTTGATCAAAACATCTCTCCAATGCAATGCAGTTGAATCATCTTGGACGTGAAAATACATACCTAACATTTTTTAATTTTTTTTCCATCTATATGACAGCGGTCTGTAAATAATCGAGTCTGGACCAGACAATACAGTGATTGACATCACGTGCATCGATCTTCCCAATTGGGATACAATGACATGCATCAATAAAAGTCAGCGAGCCTGACCACCCGATCCCATTAGTCGCCTCTTACGACAAGCACAAGTCACCTTTTACAGCAAGCATGGGTTGCTGAAGACGTATTCTACCCAGGATTTTCACAGGTCACATTCATAACTACCATTAGTGTCAACAACCACAACAAATAATAATGAACGGTGATAATTGGGAGAAAAAAATGTGCTATGTATGTTAACACTTCAACATACTTTGTCCCGAAGCACCCGCCCAAACAGAAATGAATTGCCAATTAATGGTGAGGTGAGGTGAGGTGAGGTGAGGTGAAATTGGGTTTAACGTCGCGTCCAAGATTATTGCACTTATATAGCGACGTGCATGCACGTGTGTGTGTGTGTGGCTGCTTGTACTAGACCGGACTGATGCCGATTTATAGTGCTAGCCCACTGAGATACCATGCCGCAGTTTATCATGAATACCCCACTCAGACACAGTATACTGACTCCGAGCCGACCAGTCCTTGCTTTAACCCCTTAATGCCGAACGCCAGACAGGGTAACAATAAGTACCATCTTTTAACGTCTTTTGGTATGACGCTCTCCGGGCGGACGCTCTACTACTAGACCACGGAGGCAGTCTGCCAATTAATGGGCAAACATAACATGTTCAAATGTAATTTTTAGTGACCATTGCTGTTATCATTCATCAAGTTTCAGCTTCATAGCAATTTCAGTGAGTAAATGGTTTAACACCACTTTGGTCAGTATAACCCAAGAGCTTGGGTATGATGCTGATAAATAAAGAAACAAGGAATAATAATTCAGGTGAATCTGGGATTCAAACCCATGATAATAGCTGGCCTGCAAGGGACACAACTCTGCTCAATGAAATGCAGCATCTAAGACAAGTTGTCCCGATAATTTCAGAGGTGAGGTGAGGTGAAATGGGGTTTAACATGGCGTCCAAGATTATTGCACTTATATAGCGATGTGCATGTACATGTGTGTGTTTGTGTGGCTGCTTGTACTAGTCCAGACTGATGCCGATTTATAGTGCTAGCTCACTGAGATACCATGCCGCAGTTTAACATGAATACCCCACTCAGACACAGTATACTGACTCCGAGCCGACCAGTCCTTGTTTTAGCCCCTTAATGGTGAGCGCCAGACAGGATAACAACAAGCACCATCTTTTAACGTCTTTTGGTATGACGTGGCCAGGGATCGAAACCCCGGACCTTCCGCTCTCCGGACAGACGCTCAACCACTAGACCACGGAGGCAGTCCGATAATTTCAGAGAAAGGA